ACCCTAAACCCCAAACCTTGAATCCGGCAGGTCACAGAAGACGGGGTGGCTTTCCGAATCTACAAGCTTGGCAGCCTGGAGGTCCGCACGGTCCAAGAGGTCGGGGAAGCTGCGACTGGGTTCATGTTTGGGAAAGCTTAACGCAAAGTTCCCTATGCTTACATAACATACTCGGCATCTGCAGTCAGGATGAACCCGGGAATAGTTTATGATACCTTGTAACAGGGTTCATGTTAAGGAATTCGGGTTTAAGGCTTAGTTCAGGGGTCGGAAACGCGTAGATAATTATGTAATTATTAGAATGGGGACCCCTTAGGTTGCTATCGGTTCATGTTGAGGAACTTGTTTATACAACCTCAGTACCATAGTAGGCAGAGGTCGTAGTTCGCATGCTTTCTCCTAATCCTGGTAACTTCACTTGCCCTCAACCCCGATAGCCCTAAAACCCCTAAGCCCTCAACCCGAGGCCCCTCAAGAAGAACCAAGGAGATGCTTCATGTTAGGGTTTAGGGTTTAGGGTTTAGGGTTTAGGGTTACTCTAAGCCAGAAAAATACGGACTTAAGGAGTTGAATCTAAGCCACAAAAATCAGGACACCATAGTATCTACTACAGATCATGATTGTGGTAGCTTAATTTAGATTGTTTGTTTTAGATTGTTTGACAAGAACCCAGCCAAGGAGATGGTTCATGTAACTAGGATAATAGCCACCATGATCATATAGTGCTATCAGTAGTAGCTACCATGACGATTGAAGGCTCTAAGCAGATATACCTATAGCTACCTTACTTCTAGCCCACTTACCAAGACCCTGCAAGCAAGGAGATGGTTCACGTGGTCTTCTCCTCTCGTGCCGCGTCCTGGGAGACGAAGGGATCCAAGGCGCAGGACGTGCTGGGCAAGGAGACGGGGGTAATAGAGGGGCCTTGGTAGTTAGACCAGGGTTCCTGCATAGGCTCCTAGAAGGGTCATTATGACGATGTAGAGGGCATAGGGGCCATGACAATTAGAGTTGGGTTTTCTGGGGGTATATTTTAGCATAACTCTAGTGGGACTAACAGGTATCCAAGCCCCTCTAGTGTATGAAGCGGGCCATCTCCTGTAAAGGAGGTGCCTCAACACATGCGTCTGTTTATTGAGGGAAATTTCGCATGATAACCTTGCAAGGAGAAGCTTAGCCGGTGCCGGGTCTATGTCGAGGCCATGGAGCACGAGGCTTGCAACAATTACTACATCGTGCTGGAGACCATCGAGAAGACGGTCATCGTTACGGAGCGCATGTCGGATGGATCTTTGTGCTGGCTGCAGAACCCTCACAACCTTGAGGACCGCAATTCCTTGGCCAAGTTGCTCTTCACTGCGGACTGCAAGGAGGGAATGCGCATGAGCGAGGTCAGACAGCACTTTGAAGCGCAGCCACGTGACACGGACGGTGATCATCGCAAGCGCTATGCCAAGGCGCTCTACGCCTTCACCACAGGCCGGAGCCTGAAGGGCAAATGGGGAGGCAGCGCACGCCGCTACACGGCGCCGCCGATGCGTGGCCTTGGAGTGCAGGCGCTCGGCCGCAGCTCAGAGTTCATGAACGTGATGTGGCTAGCAAGGAGCTCCGGGCTCCGGGGTCTCTGAGGCTGAGAGTTTGTGAATCACAAGACATATGGGCGGTTGTCAAAATTATGGTCCCTTTTTGGGTCCTTATTATAATACGGCACCTATTATTTAGGGTACCCCAAAACGGACCATAATTTTGACAACTTCCCATATTATACTATTAGGAGGTGTCTCGGCACAAGCGTCTTAGCATGTCTCTCCTTCAATTTGCTAGGGAGACTATAGGTGGACTCCTTCGTTCGGCCAATCGTGCCGAAGGAAGCCTCGCTGGGTTGCAAGATCGTTGTCAGGGCAGAGTGTATCATCTTTGGGTCCCTGCCCTTGAAATCACTTGGAGTATTGATTCAGTTTAGGGTTTAGGGTTTAGGGTTTTGAAGGCATCATCTTTGGGCCCTTTCCATTGGTATCACTTAGAGTACCGGTTCAGTTTTTTTGCAACCCATCGTGAGGATCACGATTGGCTTGTCTCTTCTTCAGGGCAGAATCTGCGTTCCTAGCGGTGCAGGTGAGATTAACATCTTCAGAGGCTGTAGCCCGCAGTTGCCGCTGCCAGTGATGCCCTGGATCAAAAAGTCGATTGCAATCTCCTCGCACGTTTGAAGCTTAATATAGGGGCTTAAATAATTCCCAATACTATTGTTAGGGTTCCTTCTTCGAATTATAGCATAATATACCCCCAAACCCTATTCGATTTATTAAGGCCCCCACAGTAGCGTGGTCTGCCCAGGTTTGTCTTGACTAAAATGCCGTTGATCTTGCAGAGTCGAGAGGCAATACTCTGGAAGATCAGGGAGCATCCCAGGCCCTGAAAAGCAAGAAACGGTTTAGGGTTTAGGGTTTAGGGTTTAGGGTTTAGGGCCTAAAGTTTAGGGTTCAGGGTTTAGGGTTTAGGGTTTAGGGTTTAGGAGACAGCCCCAATATAGGGGGCCTTAATACTCAGGACTCAGAATAGGGTTTGGGGGTACATTATACTATAATTACAATCGGGAAATCCCAAAACCCTATTCTAATTATTAAGGCCCTACATTAAACCCTAAACCCTAAACCACTCTGGGCTTAGGGTTACGGTTTAGGGCCCCTTTGCTGGGAGCAAGTTAGCCCGGACAACCTGTGCACAGCCGGAGAGTTACCGTGCTCGCCTGCCGAGTGGAGGACGCAGTGCTCTACTTCTATCGTAGGTAGTATCAGGGAGACTCCTTACGGGGGACCCTTTTTAGCCCTACTTATGGCTCTCTTAAGCGGGACCTTGTTGAGATCTATATCCCCAAGGGTCCCCATAATCCTAGCTCCTATTCTAATCCTTTACTCCAAGCTCCCTCTGTCGCTCTCAGCCGCAAACCCTCAGCCCTGCCAGCCGTTTTCTACAGTGCTTAGAAGCTCAAGCCTTGCACCCAGAGACTCCAATCCCCTTGTAATTGAGAATTCGTGACTCATATTAGGGCGTCCTATCATAATTTAACGCATAGTCCTTAATCAAGGAATATATCCGAATTCATATTCGGGGTCCCATTATAACTTAAGACCCTAAACCCTAAACCCCTAAACCGTATATTCCTGAACTAACGTAGAAACCTAAATAATTACTAATCTTATTCTTAGGGTTCCTTATAGTTATACTCTATAGCCGCCCAAAACCCTATTCTAATTATTAAGGCCCCTAAACCCTAAACCCTTATAGTAGCCCGTTAAGGAACCCTTTAAAGGAACCCTTAAAGGAACCCTATTCTAAATATTAAGGCCCCTATATAATTGGGTCTCGGAGTCTCCGCGCAGGAGCTCTCTGCTGCGTCCGCCCTCGGCTCGGCCCTGCAGCGGGGGGAAAGTCTCGCAGAGACGCTCGGAGTGGCGGGTTCCGGTATGTACCCAGAGATCCCAAGAAGATGGGGCCCTTAATAATTACCTTACCTATATTATTTTGGGGGCTCCCTAGTATAATTATAGTATAACATACACCATGACCCTATTCTAGCTATTCGGGCCCCGATATTTTCCCTCAATTTGGGAAAATAACTGACATTATAGGGGCCTTTATACTGTGATCCAAGGTATATTCCTTAGTTAAGGGGTAATTATAGGGCTCTCTGAGTACACGTCTGAAGTGGGGCTCAACCCCTGCAACCCCAAAACCGTAAACCAAGACCCTAAACTCAAGAACTCTGAGCCCTGAAGCTTACCCTAAACTCTGAAAAGTTGGAAACCGGGTTAAGGACAAATAGTGCTGGGATTCCCCGTGCATTACTCTTAAGGATTGAGGCTATTGGGTTTCCAACTTTTGGGCTTCTACTGTAAACCCAAAGCCCTAACACACTTAGCACCCAGGGGTTCATTGCTGTACTCGTGATCTTCCCTCACGGTCTTATAGAGTGAACCTCAGCATCAAGAAGCCCAAATCCCAAACCGTATTTCTGGAAGTTTCAGATCTTAGATGTCGAACCCTAAGCCCTGAACCCTGAATTCGAATCCCTTCGAAGGCCTAGGGTTGCACGATCCAGCAAGGACTTTGCTGTCCAGGGGCCATGTTTCGGACAGTTTTAGGGTTTAGGGTTTCAGGCTTCAGTTGGTTGGGAGTTGTGGGGTGCAGGTGTACTTAAGATTTCTTCACAGGTGTGAGTGCAAGATTGATTAAGGTGCAGGCTTTGGTTTGCGGATGAATGCTGAGGGTTCGTTTGGGATCTGGCTTGGCTACTAGGTGTTTAGGGTTTACGGCTTTAAGGCTGCACAAGCCTTCTAGAGCCATCCTCTGCTACGTCTACCTGTCCTTTCTGCCCAACTGCAACCACGAGCCGAGGCCGTCTCTTCACTTAGTAGTAGAGTAGGTAGCCTTTAACCTTCTGGTGTACAAGATTTCCTTTGTCATCCCAAAGCTTAACCTTTAGTTCCCCATGATGCGGAACAACTAAACCCTAAACCAAAAAAACCCTAAATCCTGAGCCCTAAACCCTAAACCCTAAACCCTAAGCAAGTATGTTCATCTAAGGGCCAGGCATGAACAAACTCGACCTCCATCCCGACGAGAAAAGTCACTGGACCTCCAGCCCCCTCTAGCTTTGAAGAGGGTAGCTCTCAAAACTTAGGGTCCTTTTCAGGGTCCTTTTT